TTGGTCGGAAGGTCTTCTTTGGACCATAATGTAGGCTTTTGGACAGGGTTGGAAAGAAAGGGTGGCATGAAGGCTCAAAATAATTTAAGATGAAAGGGTTCAAAATTACAACTTTTGAAATCAGATCTTTTGGCAAAACTAAAACTTCTGTGTCATGGAGTTTGGGTTTTTTTTTTTGTTTTGATGGGACTTCTAAGAAAATCTGCCTCACTCTTGACTTCGGGGGATTATGAAATATTTCATTTGGTGTGACCGAACCGTAAGGCTGCCTACGTATCTTGAGGTGACAAGAATCAGGTCGAACGTAGTTCAAACACAAAGTTGGTTTTTTGTTTCTTTCTTTCTTTTTCTTTTTCTTTTCTCCTTTTTTTTCTTTTTCTTATTTTTCTCTTTTGTATTTTTTTTCTTCTTTTTCTCTTTTTCTTTTTGTTTTCTAGTTCCTAACTCTATTTCTGATTCCAAAAGAGGGGTATGAAACAAAAATTAGGGCTCAAAAGGGGTAGCAAAAGATAAAAGTGTTTGGGTAGCAGAATAAAATGCCTTCGTCATACCAAACTTTAAAAATGCCAAGTACAAATGCAATTCAAGATAAGCAATACATAGTATCTATTGATGGCATCAACACAAACAAAAAGTGCCAATGGGCAATACCTTTGTCCCAATGAATGACCCTGGCCAATTCGAAGCAGACTTGACCCAACCTTATCTTGATGTGGAAGAATGCATTTCAACACTGACTGATATACTTCAAACTGTTTGAAGGACATTTCCTTGTTGTATGCTCTTATCAACCTCTTGATTTCCCAGATTAACTGCCTCAGTTTCACTCAATTCAAGCTTTATGTTATCTTAGAATGCGTGAATCTTTACTTGTTCCCTCAAATGCATCCATCCTTTTATCATATTCAAAATTGTGCCATTGCTTCATGACTAGACTAACTTTCAAGACCAGGCAGAGAATTATGCGTGCATGTCATGTCACTAGAGTCAGCATGAAAATAACTATAAAAGGAAAAGTGACCTAAACAAAAACTGACTAGAACTTACAGAAAACAGGAGATTGCATTAGATAGATGGTGAAAGGGTTTGAACAAAGCAAGAAAAATAGACATGGGTTACAACCCTAGAACAATCCTAGATAACACTAGACGAGTTACTACCACTAAACGAACTAGGCAAAATAAGAAGAAGAAGGGTTTGAGCCACAAGACAATATCCGAATTACAACCCTGAAATAACCCGGACAACAGAAATGACAACAAAATAAACCACCAAAACTCCTCCCTGGCTAGCCAAGAAAAGAGTGTCTTTCCAATTACGAAACTCGACATCTTAGCCATTGCGTTCCACATCAATTATACCAGAACCTCCACAAGCCTCCATCACGTTGACCTTAGCAGATAGCTATTGGGTCCCTTTTGCCAACTTGTTCTTAAGATCAACCTTTGGAACCGAGACTGATAGCGCTGAAAACTTTTCGGTAAGTGGCCCTCCAAGGGATTCAGAAGTGTTCTCATATTCCTTTTCCACACAAATCATGCCCACCACATGCATCTCATTATGAACATGCAATAGACTTTGGCTAGTATCTGCTGCATTTGGATTTTGCACGGTAATGTCACCTGCATCAATAAGTTTCTGGACTGCTCCTTTCAGATGCCAACACTTTTCTATGTCGTGCCCCGGGGCATTAGAGCAATATGCGCACCTTTGAGAAAAATCAAAATTCTTTGGAAGGGGGTTCGGCATTTTTATCTGAATCAGCTTCAACATGTCCAATTGCTTGAGCCTTTAGAACAGACTGGCATATGATTCTCCAATAGGAGTGAAAGACTTTTCTCTTTGCCGTTGCCTTCTCATTTTGTACTCCGGCCTTGGTTGAAACCTTTTTTGGGTAGGTGGTTGATATGCTTGTAGAGGTGGGTAAAACATTTGTGGAGGCGGTGCAAGCCGTTGCGGGTTTCGTGGGTGTGGAGCATATGGCAGTGCATTGTGGATGGAGTACTGGGAAGGTGAGGTATGACTTTTGGGATTTTTTGGAGGAAAGTAGCATTGGTTAGGATTATCTGGAATACGAGTATATTTATGGTGTCGGTATTGAGGCTGAAAGCGTTTAGCAGGAATGCCCACTGGATCCTGTCGTTGGCGGGGCTCAGCAACATCTTTTCTACCAATCGGATAACTGACCCGAGCAACTTGTTCGTTCCATCTGAACCAAAACTTCCTAAAGCCTTCCTTGGGTTTATTTTCCATCTGAGATTGGGAGGAGCGGTCTGGGATAATGTCTATATTGTACTGATAGTGCCGAACAAAATCTTGAGCCAGGTCACCCCATGCATGCCACTTACTAGCGTCTTGGCGGGTGTACCACTCGAGAGCTGCCCCACTCAGACTCTGACTGAAATACGCCATCAATAATTCATCTTTCCCGCAAACACTTCTCATTTCACTGCAATAACCCCTCATATGGGCTACTGGATCTCCACGCCCATCATATAAATTTAGCTTTGGCATTTCAGACCCTTTCAGCTTTATGGATATCTCACCTTGCTCCACTATCTTAGCAGGATGTGAGATAGTTTTTTTTTGGGGGGGGGGGGGGGGGGAGTGTGAAAAGGTTGTGGGGAGATATCAGCAGCAGTGGGAAGACCGAACCCTATGTGGGCTGCCTACGTATCCCGCCCCGAGAGACGAGAATCAGGTATGCGTAGTTCGGGCAGACTGGATATAGGAGGGAATTAAAAAAACTGATTTGGAGAAAATATTTTTTTTTGTCTTTTTTGAAAAATGATAGAAAATGTAAAATCTTTTTGGATTTTGTTTTCTCTTTTTTATTTTTATTTTTGGGAAATGATGGAAAAGTGCAAAAAAAAAATTGGATTTTTTCATTTCCATTTTTTTTTTGTCTTTTCTTGAAAAATTTGTGAAAGAAAAATATAACTGGGTCCTACTTGCTTCATCTTTATACCCACAACCATCATTGGTCCGTCAAATGACCTTTCTACCCTCAAAGATGCAACATGTATCACATAGGGATGATTGAATGTCTTTTTTGGCCATGGGCCCGTTTTGACATAATTTGGATAAGCCTCCTAAAAAGGGACACGGTACCTGGGACCGAGCCCTACCAGGTCTAAATGACATGATGCAAATAAGAATGGCCTAAAGGCTGACCTAAGCTTGGGGTTCATTAGACAAGTCAATTCGGGGCGGCACGTGGTTGATGGCGGCTGCTCTAGCTGTCCACCCACTCCACGCTCCCACGCCACCCTCCTAAAGACACGGGTGACTCACAAAAAGGTCGTGTACGCTCAAACGTACTCCAGAAGACTTGTTGCAGAATAAGACCTATGGTTATACAAATGATGACAGTTATAAAGCGATAAAAACATAAGGAAAAGCGATAAACAAATAACCAACAAAACGGAAAATAAGACAAACAAACTAAATAAAGAAAACAAACACCTCAATCGAATATCCTAAAAGCCAACAAGATCAAATTGTCACACCTCCTTTTTCACTACACCCCGGAAGAGGGTATAATAAAGGGAGTTTTTTCACTTAAAGGACAATCGAAACGAGATTCAATTTATTTAAATCAGAGTCGCCACTTGGGAGATTTATGGTGTCCCAAGTCACCGGTTTTAATCCCGAATCGAGGAAAAGAATGACTCTGTTATTACAGTCTGCGAATCAGAAATCCGGGTAAGGAATTCTGTTAACCCGGGAGAAGGTGTTAGGCACTCCCGAGTTCCGTGGTTCTAGCACGGTCGCTTTGATAATACTTGGCTTATGAAATTATTTAATTACTGATTTTAGAACCTATGTGCTTTTGCTTCTTTCACCGCTTTTAATTAGAAAATTATCTTGAAACGGGTTACGCGTACGTATACCCGCTTGTTTGGCGCGTCAAAAATCATGTCACGCGAACGTGTCCACAATTAATAACGCTTTATCAATATTAAGAGAATTTGGGCCGAAGTTGCGCGAACGCATACTCCGATTTTGTTTTTAGCATCATAATTGTGTTACGCGAACGTATACACAATCGCAATTGTGTTTTTTTTTAAACGGCCCTAAAGGCTTTTTTACGGATATTTATTAATTGTTTTTCATAAACTACGTTGAAATTGTCATGAGGCCATGAATTATGAAAATAACTTTGTGGCCAAATATTTACTCATGAATCAGTCGCGCACAATGAGCAAACCCAACTGATACGATCCATTTATAGTGCTAAAAATGATACAACACTGAATATCATATTTTAAGATTCAAACTTACTACTAGCTGAATTATGACAATAGGCCAACATCACTTGTGTGAAAATTTGTGTGCGCTACTGGTGTCAACTATAATATTCCAAGAATTCACAATCTATTAAAATTAAAATTCATTCAACTGAAAGTCCAAGATTGGAAAATGAAGAGCACCCAGGTAGAAAATAAAGAGACTTAATGCGATATTTCAACACAATCACAGATTAATGCTAATAGTCTAGAATGGATACTTGGTGCGAACTGGAGTATGACTCCAATAGGAATGCAAGGCTAATGCTCCACTGTGCCCAAGTATTTTTGTTGAAATCTTACTAAGGAACAAAACTTCAGGAAGCTTAAACAATGCAACGTAACTGGACTCAAAAAATTGAACGAAATCCTAGAATTTACTACTGATTTAAGTTCTTCTTATTCAAAATTAGTCTCATGAATCAGTTAAGATAACACATAAAGAAGATTCAAAATAACGAACATCCAAGCTCCGGATTATCCATCCCCTGCTACAAAACTCTACCACTCAACATTAACCCCTGAGATAATCTCTTATTTGCACATTTATACCTAGATCTAGGCGCAAGCAACGCATGAGAGGAATTCTACATGGATAGCTAACAAAACAGCACATTTGAACCCAATCTTCTCACAGCTTCCCCAAGAGTCAATACTAAAGCACTCACCACAATCATCGGATGTTTCTACTCATTCAGATGCAGAGATGAATTGAGAAGGTATTAGCATGGCTTGTAAACCACATTATCATACAATTGCCCATGTATTAACCTTAACTATCATGTGAAAGACAATTGCTAGTCCAAATCTAGAACTCAGCCCAAAACTTCACATTAATTCAACATTAAAGCGCATCAAAGGTCCAGAAAATTAACATAACAACACCCCTACATTTGAGACAAGAGGAAACAGGAAAACAAAAGAGAAGAAGCAGATAGCAATATTCCTTTCAATTCCTCATTCATTAGAATTTTCAGACACACATGGATCCTTGCAATCATCTGCTTCTCATGGTTTACAGATTTACCTGAAAGTGTGAAGAAAGCAACAGCAGAGTAGTCAATGGGCCAGCAGTAATAGCGAACAGCAGAATCAGCAGCAGTTAAAACCAGAAAATGAAGTAAGAAACAGGCCAGAAACCCAACTTCAGTCAGGAATAAACCAGAAAACTTCAAATACACTCGACCTCAGTCCATTTCAGCCTCAAATAAAGCCTAAATAACTTCAGCAATTTGAAAATTCTCCAAGTTAAAACAGAAGGCCAATGAAACAGTATTTCCTTCAGCTATTTTTCAGCTCATTTTTTGTGTTTTTTTTTCTGATTTTTCTTCTATTCAATTATCTATGAAACAGTAAATTTTTTTTTTTTTTTTTTTTTTTATATATATTTTCTGGATTTTCATCTCTCAAAATTCTCTGCCTTGAAAGGCAAGTTTGGGATGCCTTTATAGGCAAGGAAGGTAGGGCACCTTCCAGGTTTTAGTTTTGCATTTTAGTCCTTCACTTTGTGACTTGGTGCCCAAGTTAAACCTGAAATTTACTCGCAGACCCCTACTAGAAGTTTCTTGAAAACTGTCAAAAGATTCCCTCAACCAATTTGCCTAAACTACCCTTTAAATCCCTATCAATTACCCTTCCCAACCTGATCCAAAACAGCCTGTGCTTCTTTGAATTGGGTCATAAATGACTTAAAGAGCCCAAAGCTTATATTAGACCAATCCAAATGAACATTCAAAAATTCAAATTCGGACCCAGGCCTTATCACAAATTAATTATAGTAAAAAAAATGCAACCAACTCGATCTTTACTGACTCCTACGAAAAATAAAACAAAGAAAGATAAAATAAACAAAGCAGAATTGCCCAAGAGCCAAACATGAAATAAAGAACTTACTTCTAAAAACTAACACCAACCAGGCTAAACAACAAATTGGACCCTAACTTAAGCAAACAGGACGAAATCATTTTAATCAACACGAATTAGCTTAAAAAGAACTACTGAGTACAGAAAAACAGAAGAAAAGACAAAGAAAAGCACAAGAAGGGACTGAAGGGGAAGAGAAACAAAAGAAGAAGGATTTAATAACCGAACGACTGAAAAAGACGAGGAAGGATGGAAGAGATACCTTTAGCATCACTTGACACAAAACTGATAACTCTTCGAAAGCTCCGATTCGGTTCAAAACAAATATTAACTGTATATTCTCAACGAAAATAAACAGTCAATACCTATTTCAAACCTTATCGCTCAAAGAAAACTGGAAGACTTGACGAATTTCTTTCTTCTTTGCTCTCATACTCGAAACTTGAGTGAGGTTTTGGGAAAAATGGTGGTGGATTAGGGTTGAGGGAAGGGTGATGGTTGCATGGGTGAAATATGGAGTCAAGCAGAGATGGCGCCGCCACTGGAGAAGTTGTGGCGGCGCTAGGGTTACGCTCTTCAAATGAGTATTCGAGGGATTCCAGGGGGTTTTGAGGGAAATAGAGCGCAGGTCTGGGAAGAGGAGGGTAAGGCGGTAATTTGGTATAAATTTGGGGGTCATTGGACGCCGGCCGCCGCCGTAGGCGATTTCCGGCGGGCGGCAGGCGGTGGCTTAGGGCGGAGGAGATTGTTCTGAGGGTGGGGGTGATGAACAAGGTACTAGGTTTTTCGGACATTTTAATCGATTTGGGGGAACTGTTTAGGACCGCTAGATGAGGCCATATCGATGGCTCAGATGAAACGAAACGAAACGACGTCGTTTGGCCCGTTAATGAGTGAGGTCGGGTAATGGGGCGGGTATGGGCTCTTTTGAACGGGTTTCGGGGGGGGGGGGGGAATGCTTGGGCCTGGGATTTAGAAGGAGACTGGCCCAAAAAAACTGATTCAAAGCTTAATTCCTTCTCTTTTTTTTCATTTTCTAATTTCTTTTTTAATTCCAAAAATTTCTTCTCAAATTAAAAATCTAAACTTTCATCTTAAAACTTAATTAACCCAAAACAACCTAGCACATAAAACTAATTAAAAGAAAAACTACTCAAAATCAGATATTAAATTTAAAGAGTGCAAAATGACTATTTTTGTGATTTTCCTTTTTACAAAACAACTTAATTACTAAACAATTATAAAAATGCAAAATTAACTCCTAAATGCACATGCAACACATTTTTTATATTTTTCACTAATTAAAATGCTCGAACAAAAATGCGAACAATTAACAGAAAATGCCACGACAATCCACAAAATCACAAACACTGAAAGAAATCATTTTATTTTGAATTTATGGGAGTAATTCATATAGGACAAAAATCACGTGCTCACACAAATATCAGCTCGAACCTGCAAGTTGTCCCCAGCAGAGTCGCCAAAGCTGTCACACCCCTTTTTTAAAACCTCACTAACCCCTCTTTAAATAATAAAAGTGATTTTGAAGCTCAAAAAAGGTTTCAATTATGAAAGTGACAAAATATTGTGTTTAAAAGGATTTTTCGGAGTCGCCACCTCACATTGGTTTCGGTGTGCCAGGTCACCGTTTTTAAAAAAATAAATATTTTTTCTTTTTAAAACACTTTGGATTCCAAAACTAAGTCTACACCAGAGATTCGGGTAAGGGGGTTCATTTGACTCGGGGAGAAGGTGTTAGGTACTCCCTAAATCCCGTGAAAGTCACGGTTGCATACTTGATCTAATCGGCTTTTAAATTTTTTGAATTGAGGTAATAAACACAGAAATGGGAAAATTAACATATAAGAGGCTCGAGGTCGTCCCCACCTAATAAAAGTAAAAATAAAAATACTATTCTATGCTTCCTCAAAGTGTTCCATCGCTGGCCTTCAAATACAAATACTTCGGGGCATTATATATATATATATATATATATAGGAATTTATCGGGGAATTCCCCGGATATATTCAACTAAAGGAACGACCCCTCGCCTTGAAAGAAATAATAAAACCTAAGGCTTGCCTACCCGAACACTAACGGCCTAAACATGCTACTAACGAAAAGTAACTAAAATAAGAATAAAAGAACAATATTATTATCTTGAACCTAATTTTTCTTTTAATTTTTACCCAGCAACCCAATTTCTATACTGCGATGAAAATTATGTTCAACTATAACCAATTCGAGTATCATATGAGCAAATAACTAAGTGAACAAATTCAAAACCGCGGAGAACAACTACACAAACAATGGAATCATATCACCAAACAAACAGTTAACATTAAGCTAGAATAAAATGAGTAGAGGATGGGAGAATTGAACCTCAGTTAGAGCAAGAACCCTTCTGATGTTAATTAGATCTAAGCCGCACGTAATCCTCGAACTCGAACAGAAACTGTCATGAACCGACAAACTCAAGCATATTCTGATTCAAAATTCCAACACAAACTCAACGGCATAGTTCGAACCAGCAAATTTAATTTGGTAAAAACTCAAGCAGAGACATAAATAACCAAATCTGAAGATGAAGTTTCAATCAATTTGATATGCGAAAAAACAAAACACAACAGTTGAAGCACGAAAAACAGCTGCGAAATTCGGTGACAAGAACCGACGGAACTCTGAACATTGAAGGCACTCGGTAGACAGCGATAATTCGAACCAAAAACTTGGAAACAAAAGCTCTATTAAGAGAGTTTTTCTTCAATATAACAGTGGAAAAAAATCAGCCAATACACAACCCTTGATTCCGAAATCCAACGAGAAAGAACAACAAAGTCGAAGAGAAGAATTTTCAACCGGAACTCGACCTGGAACCTCGAACCGGCGACGGGAACTCGAACTGGAATCAACCTTCAATTGAGATGCGGTGTCCGTGTATATGGTGTTGTGATTTCTGTGCTAATTAACGTTGGATTCCTATTCCAATTGTTCCAATATTTATTGGAGCTGTAGCTACTGATTGGGCTTGTTGTTTCCGTCTGTGTGTGTGAGTTGAAGGGAGATCTGGCCGGCGGCGGTTCTTGTGAAGGGGAATTCAGCCGCTAGCCTCTCTTGGGTGTTCTAGGTTGAAGGAGAAGCGGCGATGGGGGGTCTTTTTGGGTGGGTGGCCGTTTTTTTTTGGGTGTATTTGTTCTGTATATGTGAGTGCGTATCCTGCTGGTTGAGAGAAAGAGATGACGGAGGCTCTCTTATGGGGGGGGGGGGGTCGGCTGCTCTGTGTGTGCTCTTAGGTCTAGGGTTTTCAATGGGTCTCTAGGGTTAGCTTAGTGGGTATTGGTTATTGGGCTTAATGGGCTAATCCGAAAATTGGGTCTAAAAAATGGATTGTTCGAGCGCAAGTTTTATTCTTTCTCCTTGAACAAGACTAAAAATATTACCCCATTTACTAATTAATCCTACTTAAGTAAATTAACTATTAAAAAAAAACTAACCGTTAAAACAATCCTATTTTGGGTATTTTTCAAATATCATACTAAAAGATAAAAATGGAATTAGATTAAAATCATTGCAAAATTAAAATAATATTCCTACCAAACTACTAATATTCCTGAAAATAAAGTGGAACTATTTTGTATTTTTGAATTTTATGAAAGGCAGATAAACTAAAAGTAACAAGATAAAGTATCGATTACCTAAATAAAAGAAAAATATTTTTTGTAACTTTTATTTTTGTGACAAAATAAAGTAAAAGAGTCAAAACTAGTTGAAATAGCGATATTAGGCCTAAACTAAATTTTTAACACTAAAATATGTAAAATCTTGGGGAGGGTCAAAAAATTACATGTCTATAGTGCCTAGTAATATCAAGACTAACGTCGGTGAAGTAGTGACGATGACCAGTCAAGACACCCACTGGTCTAATAAACCGAACAAGCATAAGTATAGGAATGACTGAACATGACATCTTTCTAAGGACTATGCTATATGGCTAACAACATAGCAACTGCAATAAGGAAGGAAAAATATCAAGTAATAGCGGAACACCATAATAAGACCTAGAAGAATGAACGGAAACACAGCCCAAATCTGAAAATCACAATACAGTAAAGGTAAGTAGTAAATCAGCAACTGCAATAGTTTTCACATCAGGTCTTAGCCAACAAACCCTAAGAAATTAGTCAAGTCCTTCAAGTATAAACTTTCACCCGTAAGATATGTGATTTACCTCAAAAATACGAGTAATAATTAAACTTAATTAGTGGTTTTAAAGATATGTGATTTAGTTCAACACCAATTAATAATCAAGAAATATGAAGTAGAAATGTAAGATAGAAGTGAATTAAATCGATGTTACTTAGCAGCAATGTCCTCGAGCTTAGCGACCTCGAGGTGGCTTATGGCAGTAAGAACAATTACGTAATCAAAATGAAGTAAGAATAATGGATCTAAAGGACAATGCTGATGAACAGTAGGCAAAAAGGTAGAGAGTATATTCTTTTCTCAGTGATGATAATAATGTGTCGTTACAAATGATTGGGGTCCCCTTTATATAATAGGGGAGCCCTAAATAAGGAGTATTTCTATTTGCAGTAGGGAATATTCTTGGTACAGCTGCCTAACCGCCTAGTACGGAATGGTACAATCATATTACGGGATTTGCACCATGGCAGGAATCTAACTTGTTCTGGTACAAACCCATAACGGTACTATTTCAAGGTCGAGCACATTCGACCTTGGTATGCATCGTGCTCCGCCTCCGAACTCGGGTCTGGTCCCTCGAGCTCGGACATGATCTTTCCCGGATTCGGACTTCGGACGACCTCTCAAGTATGTTCGATCTCGACCATATACATTTCTGACACTGATTAAAATGGTGAAATGCAGTATAGCATACAAAGGAAAGACACATGTAATAACAACCTAAATGGAACTCGTTTTTAGTAAAAATTGCACGGGGCGCCCTATTTGGTCACCCCCATTTAACCTATACCCATTTTTTTTATTTATATTTTTTTAACTTGTACCCACTTTTTAAACAACTTCGGCCCTCTTTCTCCTCCTCCTTCTCCTCCTTCGTTTTCTTCTTCTTCTTCTTCTTTCTTCTGCTGCTGTTGGTGTTGCTATGAAACTTCAGCTCATAGGTTATAACTTTTTCTGTGTTTTGATCAGCATAGCATTAATATTTCAACCCTAACTTAAGTTTGTAATTACCAGTTATATATACATGACTACAAAATTAGAACATCAAAGATCTCTAATTTCTTTCGCCATTCATATCTCTTACTATGGAAGTTCATTAGTTTTTCCTTTTAATAATAACACAGAAAAAGAATCTTTTTTCCATCATCACTCTAATTGTACAAGAAAAATCTAAAGCTGGAAGATGTTAGCAGAAAGTTGAGTAATGACTACCATCGTAAAAATAGTCAAACTATAATGAATCCCTTCAAGCAGAAAATTCATAGACATATCTTGAGAGCATGGGTTGTGCAGCTAAAACGTGCTGAAGTTCAGCAAATATAGAACAAAACTTTAGCTAGAACATGCTGAAGTTCAGCAAATAGAGAACAAAACTTCAGCTACTAGAATGCTTAAGTTCAGTAATTACAAACAAAAACTTCAGCCAACACTAATTTTACGTGAACTTCAGCTAAAACATGCTGAAATTCAGCAATTACAAACAAAAACTTAAGCAAATAGAACAAAACTTCAGCTACGAGAATGAAGTTCATCAATTACAAACAAAAACTTCAACAAATAGAGAAGAAAACTTCAGCACTAGAATGCTTAAGTTCAGCAATTACAAACAAAAACATCAGCACAGTTGGTTCAGCAATTTTTGCTACTTCAGGCCCGTCTACTAGAATGCTGAAGTTTGCGTGATTGCCTCTGCTACTTCAGCCCGTATGATGAAGTTACGCGAAAAAGTAGGTACGCTTGCAATTTTTTTTGCAAAGCCGGTACAAGTTAAAACGTGACCCAAAAAGCGGGTATAGATGCAAATGCCCCCATTTTTTACGAGCAAATATCATTTATAGCCACTCGGGCCAAATCTATATCATCCGGTAGCCCAAAATTACAATACACAATTTATAGCCCAAAAGCAATTCTAGTGGCTAGCCCAAACTACCGCTTTTTGCTTCTTTCTTCAGCAATTCGGATTTTTCCTTCTGGGATTTCTCGATTTATAGCACACTTTTTTCACTTCTTTTGTTTTTTACGTTAGATTATGAAATCAATAATGGAACAGTTTTGATCTAATTACAAGAGATTTAACAATTAATGCAATAAGCATAATATAACGATTAACAAAGCAAGAGAAACTCCAAACCAGAAGGAATAGATCAACTTATTTGTTATTAGTACGTTTTCCAGAAATTCAAGGGCTGTTGATTTTGTTTAAAAGTGGAAAAGGAAAATAATTGGCTAAAGAGAGAGAGAGAGAGGGGCAACCAACCTTTGAATAAACATTCCAAGCTCTCCCTTATTGCCTCATTTTTTTTGGGCTAACTTTCTTTGATAGGGAAATCCTTTGCTTTTCACCAAATAAATTTCCATTTTCACATGTATATCATTAGTTGATTTTGATGGGAATCATAATTTCAGGCCCACCATTAGATATATTTATATGGATATTTATGTATTTCTTTCGGTGAAAATAGATTCGAATATTGGTATATGATAAAATATATACAAAATAGACTGTCACTATACAAAAATTATACAAAATAGACTGCCACCATACAATTTATATACAATAGACTGTCACTATACAAAATATATACACTAAATAGACTGTTACTATACAAAAAATATACAAAATTGACTGTCACTATACAAGTTAGACTGTCAATATACAAAATAGATTGTCACTATGCAAAAAAAAAAAAAAAAAAAATACAAAATACACTAAAAAATACAAGATACACTTATATACAAAATTTACTGTCACTATACAAAATATATACTAAATAGACTGTTACTATACAAACAATATATAAAATAGATTGTCACTATACATCTTAAACTGTTAATATACAAAAAATATACAAAACAGTCTGTCACTATACAAAAAATATACAAAATACACTGAAAAATACAAGATACAATTATATACAAAATTTATATAATGTGTATATAAAAAATTTAATGCATTGTATAACTATATATATATATATATATATATATATATATATATATATANTATATATATATATATATATATATATATATATATATATATATATATATATATAATATTTATATAAAGTTACATATAAGTATAATCCCACTACCCCATTAAATCCAGACCCACCATCAATGCTCACAATAAAAATTCTTCACTCACAAAACACTATTATTATTAGAAGAAGAATAAGAAGAAGTAAAAAAAATAAAGAGAAAAAATATAGATCTGAAATGAGAGATAGAGAAGGGAAGGAAAATGAAAAAAATAACCAAAAAAAAAAGATAAAAGGAAGACGAAGAAGACACAGAGAAAGAAAGAGGATAGAAATGAAAATGGTAATGGAAAAAAAAATCAGTGCATTGGATAGAATGAAAGAAAGATAAAAAGGCATGCATTGAATAGAATGAAAGAAAGATAAAAAGGCTAGGATTAAATGTTGTCTTGGGAAGATAAATGCATTGGAAATAAATAATGGCTATAAATTGCAAATAAATTGGGCCGAAAGGCCATTTTCTGTAAGTAGGTAAAAACATGAGCTATTAAAATTTTGAGGGGCTATAGAGGGTAGTTTTCTCATTTTTTTACCAACTCCGCCGAGTCCAATATCATTCGTGGTTGTTAAATTGTTTGTGTCTGCAAGATTGACCGCTATTTCTTTGCGGCGTTGCAAACGAAATATTGTTGTAGCCATAGCCACTTTTGTAGTTGGTGTTTGAGACCTAACTAGTTTAAAGTATTTAAAACATAGCCACATTTTGATTTTAGTGGCACTTCAAACTTCACGATATTAACAGTTGTAGAAGTTCAAACTTCAAAACAGTATCCTAATGTTCAAATTTATGGTATGGAGTTTGTTTTGCTGCAAATGAAACTTCATAATAGCGTCGCAAAGCACCCAAAACATAGATGAGGAATAAAAAAAATATTAGCTAGAAAAAGACAATGTAAGCATTGATGGGTTGTGTTGTTTAATAACTGTTGATGTTAAGAAGAAGCAAAAAAAATATACAGAAAAAAAGAGAAGGCCAGGAGCAGAAGAAAGAGTGAAGTGGCTATATCTTAAATAC